TTGAAGGTGAATCAGGAGGGTGGCCAACCCCTAGCTGACAGCCGATTAGGGCAAAACTCCCTTGGAAGCCCCCATGGAAAACTTAAAATAACATCGCTCGATCATCCTCGCTGTCTTCGACGACGTGAAACATCCTACTTTCGTATTCCCTCTGTCCCTACGCCGTAGTCTCTTCTGTCCGCGCCACCCTTAAACCTTACAACCTACGTATGCCATCGCCCTTACAGGATTGACCTTATACCCCCGGTACTTAAGAAACATCCCCACAGGCACCTCTCACGTCACCATACTAACCCCGTCATTCATGCAGCTACTGTATTTTGTCTTAGTCCGGTTCAAAATAACCCACCCCTATAAGGGGTTACGTTTGGAATTTCAATATAAAAAAAAAACAAGAAGGAATTGTCATCCCCTAATAATGACTCCTGGTGTAATCAACTGTTAGCATAACGATATACGCGTATACGGGACATGGGGGCTAATTTAGTATGACGGTATTGCTGCCCCGTGATAATTTTATTTCACCCTGGCGGATGTTTGAGAAACCTATCAAAATTCATTAGCGATCCTCTTTTAGGTTCTGCTGGCATTAACGAAGGTATACGAGGAGAGTGGATCGTTGACCTCGAGGAATAAATCGTATGGGACACGGGAGAGGGGGGGGGGGGCGTCGAAGAAAAATTTTTAAAGGGTCCAATGAAGATTACACGTGTATCATTAGCGTTTATGTAGCATGTATTAGCAGATAGTATATATATATGATTTCGCGAAAGTTGAATTTCCAAAAATTGTTAACGCATCCAAGTTGAGCACCCCTTCGATGCTCATTACAGTGTGTCCCGCCCCCGGCGGCGGGTAATCAGGGTGGCGGGGTCGAGGGGCGCTCGAGATAGAATCGACGCGGTGGGACGGGCCCAGGGGGCGGGGGCGGTAGGTGACCTCGCCTGGGGCCTCTGCTCCTCTTTTACTCTCGTCTCTCTGTATGCCTCATCCTCTTCGCCCAGCATCCTCCTCTCGTTCGCTCTTTTACTTCCTTCGACGACTCCCGGCTTCCACCTCGCTTCGTTCCTTCCTCATAGCTTTCCAGTCTCGGTCGCTTCGCCGTTTCGCATTCTCATTACGCTATCCACCCAAGTAATAGTAATTACTCATACACTGTATCCGCCATTAGGTCTTACCCTTATTTTCCACGTGAAATACTATTTCCTATGGGCAAAAAGTCATACAAGTACTGTTACTGGTTTATGGCGTGGCGATACGGCAAGAGAGAGGTCTAGTCTCGATTTCCGAGTTGGACTGTGTCTGTCTTTCTCTTACACGTGTAACCACCGATGGGTCTGTCTCACTCGCACCCACGGTTGGTATAGGAAACTCGCGAAATCTAAGAGGTCGGAGGCATCTTATGATTTTCGGCTAGAGCGTCGTGTCAAAAATCTCGGGGGTTTAAATTTTATTCTTTAATATTGTTCTCATGCTTATAGGGATAATTGACGAGTGATAAGTGTCTGGTAAAATAAAAAATTATTTTGTTCCATGCAACATTCTCTCGTGCAATCTACAGGTAGCTGTATAGCCTTCCGTAGCCTCCGTTTACTCTCAACCTTCTGGCTAATCCGGGGTAACGGTTTCTCGGGAACGATTTGCAGATTCTTTCAAGAGACTAGGAAGGATTCTGGGCGCCACTTACGATTCCATCTAATTTCTTTAGGCGTAGCACGATAGCGTCCGGTAGCGCTCGAGGTCGGACTGGTGCCGGAGCCGGGTTCCCGTGTTCTCTCGGTCCTGTGATTTTTCACTTGGACGCCAGTGCCATAGTAGGTATTCCAGAAATGGGCCAGGAACAGGAGGGTCTGCCCTCCGTGAGTTGAGAAGGCCCCTGGGTCCTATTCGTTCGGGAATAGTAATCATTACGGAGGCATTTTCGAGCAGGAAATGACGATGGCAGGTGGGGCCAGCCTGGGAGAGTCTCTCTCTCCCCTTTCTCCTCTCTCTTATCTTCCTCAGCTTCGCTCTTCCTGCTATGACTCTCTCTTCGTTTTGTCTCTCGCTTCTGTATTATGTATACCTATATATCGTGCCAGGGCAGACCGTTAGCGAATGCCACTTTTTTTTTTTTTTTTCTTCCTCCAACTCATTATCTATGCAGACACACATGGTCCAAACTCCCCGGGGTCAGGATTCGCGAGGATTTCGGAGTTTCGGGACAAGAGCTTGAATAATTGGTATCCCTGGTCCGGGCACCAGGTTCCCGCAGTGACTCTCAATGTTGGCGGAAAATTTTTTCTCTCTACGTTTCACGGTCAATGCCAGTCCTATAGTACACGTTGAATTTCGCACGAGTGAACACGTGGAATTTCCACCTAGAAGAAATGACCGAAAATGAGTTCAGATGTCGGATGGGATTTTTGTCCATTTTTGAAGATTTCTAAGGAAGAAAAAAAGAAACAGTGGAACCCACCCAAAGAATTGACAGCTTCATTCGTCTTATCTTCGTCCATCTCAGGGACACGCCGATGTCGGAAATGTGTCCTGACGTTTAGGCTACCACCAGGTATGCTACATACAGAACAGAAAAGATACGTAAAAGGGCTCCCGGTAAGGGTGGGGGGG